CTCATCTACAGCTAAGAGACCGATTACCCGTTGAGGCGCATCTCCATCAAGGCTGTATAAACATAAAGAGCAAGCCAATTTTTTTTTTTTTAATAACTTGTCTTTAAGGGAGGAAGTGGCCGAGTGGGCTAACGCGTCTCAGCTCGGAGCGTGGAGCGAAAGCTTGCGCTGGGAACCACCTGGGTTCGATCCCCGCCGCCCCCGCCCGTTTCGATCTGGATGAGTTTCGTACCGGCACGCGTTCGTGTGATCACTACTGCGTGATGCACGTTAAAAACCCCAGGTTAGCGGTTGTACCGCTCTGGCCGAATTTCTCATCTACAGCTAAGAGACCGATTACCCGTTGAGGCGCATCTCCATCAAGGCTGTATAAACATAAAGAGCAAGCCAATTTTTTTTTTTTAATAACTTGTCTTTAAGGGAGGAAGTGGCCGAGTGGGCTAACGCGTCTCAGCTCGGAGTGTGGAGCGAAAGCTTGCGCTGGGAACCTCCTGGGTTCGATCCCCGCCGCCCCCGCCCGTTTCGATCTGGATGAGTTTCGTACCGGCACGCGTTCGTGTGATCACTACTGCGTGATGCACGTTAAAAAGCCCAGGTTAGCGGTTGTACCGCTCTGGCCGAATTTCTCATCTACAGCTAAGAGACCGATTACCCGTTGAGGCGCATCTCCATCAAGGCTGTATAAACATAAAGAGCAAGCCAATTTTTTTTTTTAATAACTTGTCTTTAAGGGAGGAAGTGGCCGAGTGGGCTAACGCGTCTCAGCTCGGAGCGTGTAGCGAAAGCTTGCGCTGGGAACCACCTGGGTTCGATCCCCGCCGCCCCCGCCCGTTTCGATCTGGATGAGTTTCGTACCGGCACGCGTTCGTGTGATCACTACTGCGTGATGCACGTTAAAAACCCCAGGTTAGCGGTTGTACCGCTCTGGCCGAATTTCTCATCTACAGCTAAGAGACCGATTACCCGTTGAGGCGCATCTCCATCAAGGCTGTATAAACATAAAGAGCAAGCCAATTTTTTTTTTTTTTTAATAACTTGTCTTTAAGGGAGGAAGTGGCCGAGTGGGCTAACGCGTCTCAGCTCGGAGCGTGGAGCGAAAGCTTGCGCTGGGAACCTCCTGGGTTCGATCCCCGCCGCCCCCGCCCGTTTCGATCTGGATGAGTTTCGTACCGGCACGCGTTCGTGTGATCACTACTGCGTGATGCACGTTAAAAACCCCAGGTTAGCGGTTGTACCGCTCTGGCCGAATTTCTCATCTACAGCTAAGAGACCGATTACCCGTTGAGGCGCATCTCCATCAAGGCTGTATAAACATAAAGAGCAAGCCAATTTTTTTTTTTTTAATAACTTGTCTTTAAGGGAGGAAGTGGCCGAGTGGGCTAACGCGTCTCAGCTCGGAGCGTGGAGCGAAAGCTTGCGCTGGGAACCACCTGGGTTCGATCCCCGCCGCCCCCGCCCGTTTCGATCTGGATGAGTTTCGTACCGGCACGCGTTCGTGTGATCACTACTGCGTGATGCACGTTAAAAACCCCAGGTTAGCGGTTGTACCGCTCTGGCCGAATTTCTCATCTACAGCTAAGAGACCGATTACCCGTTGAGGCGCATCTCCATCAAGGCTGTATAAACATAAAGAGCAAGCCAATTTTTTTTTTTTTTTAATAACTTGTCTTTAAGGGAGGAAGTGGCCGAGTGCATTCTGTTTCCGGCACTCGTATCGAGCGGACGCAGGGTCATGAGCTCCCAAGGAGCGGCGATAGCGGCCGTCGCCGGCCGTGGTATCTCGGCTGAATCATCCCCGGATCCTTATCGAGTAGTACTGCCCCCCCTGCCATCAGGAGATATGTTTTTGAACTCGGTGATTCTTCACGCCGACATCACAGGACGCCCGTACAAAATTGAAGATTTCAAGGGCGAACTGCAACGCTTGGGCGCCCTTCCTGCCCTAAAAGCGGGAGGGGCGTACCAAATGAATCATGTGTGGCTCTTAGCGTTCCAGTCGGCGGACGTCCCGCGGAAGTTGCTTGAAGCCCGGGAGCTGCAAGTCAAGGGCAAGAAGTGCCTCGTCGTAGATCCCAACGACGGTGAGGTACGCCTAAAGCTTCACTGGCTACCCTTTCACGTGAGCGACGACTTGGTTCGACGAGCGCTCGAGCCGTACGGCAAGGTGAGCGAGGTTACCCGCGACACGTGGAGAACGGAAGGCTTTGCGGGCGTCCAATCCACAACGCGGTTCGTGAAGATGACACTCAAGAATGGCATTACCAAGGACACTCTTCCGCACCAGCTGCGTGTGCAGGGAGGTAATGTGCTCGTGTTGGTTCCCGGGAGGGCCCCCCTATGCCTTCGTTGGAAGAGGACGGGTCATATCCGCAGGGACTGTCGTGTTCCTCGCTGTGATGAGTGCAACCGAGTCGGACACGAGAAAGAGAACTGCGCCCGCACTTACGCAGCGGTGACAGAAGTTTCCGTAGCCGGGGACTTCGACGAGCGCGCCATGGACGAAGAAGAGGCTGAGGCAGCCGCGGCGAGCACCACGCCGGGAGGGTCCGCTGCTGTGGTTTTGACGCCATCCGAAGAAGTAACAGAGAAGGATGCACCGGAGAAGGGTGACCCAAGCTGCACGATGGAGGAGCCCCCGCTCAAGGTACCGTGCAGCATCCAGCAGACCAGACCACTCAACAGCGAGCCTCAAGGAGACACGGACCCGGGCAACGCAGGCACTCTAACCGACGGCGAGTCGGAGATGAGTGAATCTGAAGATGCCGTTTTCAAGCAACCACCGGATGTTCGCTCTGCAGAGGCTTCCACCGCAGTGCGAACAGAGCTGAAGTGGCGCACGGCGATAGCACGGAGAGAGCGATTCAACCCCAAGCCGCGAATACCTACGGAAGAGCGCCGGCGGGCTGCACCCCCGTAGGTAGGTCTCCTCGGCTTTCGTTCTTCGGTACCGGTCCTTTTCTCGCAGACGCGCAACTTGCAGCCTTTGTCCGCGACTGCCGGCAGCTTGTGCTTAACTTCCCACAACACACGCGCTGGGACGTATAAAGCTTGCCACCCTTAACAGTGTAAGCCTGATCGCCCAACAGCGGAAACAGTGGGTCCTTAACTTACTTTTGCAAAAGAAAATAGACGTTGCTTTTCTGCAAGAAACCAAACTTAGTACTGATAAGCAGGTGGAAGTCATGGCTCACTTTGTGAGAAAGCACTACGACTGCTTTACCTCCAAGGCGAACGCACAGAGTGGCGGGGCGGCTATATTGATAAAAAAATCCAGAGGCATCACGATTTGCCCTGAATGGGAAAATGACTTTAACGGTCGGGTCTGTGCGGTGGAAGTTCTGTACCAGGGAGAGCTACACAAGCTTGTTTCGGTCTATGCCCCAAACGAGATAGTGGAAAGAAAGCAGTTTTTCTCTAGTCTCCGGCAATACGTTGACACATCATGCGAAATTGTATTGGCTGGCGATTTTAATTGCGTATTGCATGTCGCAGACAGCTCGAAGGCTTTGCGGTCGGACAGCAGCCGCGTGGAACTTCGCAAGATATTACGGGACTTCGATTTGCAAGACGCAAATGAATTTGCTGCGGGCCCATGCTTAGAGTACACCCACTGGCAGGGTACATGCCATGCAAGGCTGGACAGAATTTACGTTTCAAGTGAACTTGCGGCAACCAGCTCGGCATACGAGGTTCTCCCGCTGGCATTCTCCGACCACGCCCTTGTAACTGTTGCTGTTGGGAAGGTGGCTCCCCAGACAAAGAAGTCGTCATGGTGGAGTGGATGGAAGTTGAATGAAAGCCTTTTAGAAGATGAGCTGCTGCGCGCAGAAATTAAGAACATAATCGGGGAGAAAAGCGACGGGAAGATTGTGGACGCAGTCATATGGGAGGAGTTGAAACAAGATATCAAACTGGCAGCCTTTAGGTTCAGCCAAGAGAAAGCCGCCCGAAAAAAGGCGGTGAAGCGTTCCTTGACACAGAGTCTACGCACTCTTATAGCTGAGGAAAACAAAACGCCTGGAGTGTTCACGAGCGACATTAGAGAGTGCAAAGGCCGAATTCTTGAGCTCCTCGAACACGACTATAAAGGTGCCATGATTCGAAGTAGAACTCTCACCTTGGAAAGGGATGAAGAGCCCCGTAAGATATTCAAGACGCGAGAAAGACTACACACAAGTCGCAACCAGATCACCAAGCTACAAGTCGGCCAGGACACAGTTACGCGGCAAGAGGATATCGAGGCTGCCTTTGTGAATGCTTACACCACTCTGTTTACAGCGGACGGAAACGAGCAAACATCTGAAATATACAAAGGATTGTTGCCAAAGGTCTCAGAGTCTATAAGAAAGAAAATCAACCAAGAGATCACGGCAGCCGAAGTGGAGAGGGCCATCAAGGAGTTGGCCCCTCGCAAATCACCTGGTGTCGACGGACTTGGGAGCTTCTTTTACAAAACCTTCACTAAGCAATTGGCCCCGATTCTTCGGGACGTGTTCGCCGACATCCTGCGCCGGGGACTGCTCCCGCCTTCGATGCGTCAAGCAGTTACCGTGCTAATTCCAAAGAAGAACGTCGCAGGACCCCTTGGAGTTGGTCACTTTCGACCGATCAGTCTGTTAACCTGTGATTACAAGATCCTGGCCAAGATTCTCGCGAAGCGGCTGGAGTCAGGACTTGGCAGCGTCATTGGAGACCACCAGACCTACGGCATCAAAGGAAGAACGATTGCAACGAACCTGCATGCAATGCGTGTAGTGTGCGAAACGGCAGAGGTGCTACAGTGTCCGCTGGCAGTGCTGCAGGTTGACCTGAGCAAAGCCTTTGACAGAGTGTGTCATTCTTTTCTTTTTTCTCTTCTGGAGTCGTGCGGGATTGGTGCGCGCTTGCTGCGATATGTGCAACTGTGGTACCGCGATATCTCTACGCGTCTAATTGTGAACGGGAACAAGACCGCTCCCATTTCTCTGAGCAGATCAGTGAGGCAGGGCTGTCCACTCTCGCCAATCTTATTCGCTCTGTACCTGGAGCCACTCTGCAGAGCAATTGTTCGCGATGCGAGCATAAGTGGTTTGGTGCTGTCCTCAGGCTCACTTAAACTCCTGGCGTACGCCGACGATGTGGCAGTGGTGTGTTCGTCGGCAACTCAGGTGAAGGCTGTGGTGCAGCATATTAGGAACTTCTGCAACGTCTCCGGCGCGCAAATGAACCCGGAAAAGTCGGCTGGTGCTTGGCTAGGTGGCTGGGACACGAAGCCAGAGCGCTTTCTTGGCATCCCGTGGACGTCCAAGGTGTCTAGTTATCTGGGAGTTTGTTTAGACGTCGAACAGCTGAGTACGGGCCGAGGCGGAGTGGACTTAAATCGCCTTAAATTCAAAGCGGCAGACTGTAACGGCAGATATATTTCGTTAATGCATCGGGCACACATTTGTAACTCTGTTTTCTTTCCGACTGCATGGTATACGGCACAAGTGGTGCCGTGCGCATCTCTTGACATTGCAAAAGTGCATCGATTGTTTGCAACCTTTGTCTGGGAGTCAAAGTTTGAGCGCATGCGACGAAATAACCTGTTCTTAAGTCAGAAGAAGGGCGGGCTCGGATTAGTAAATGTTGAGCTGAAGCTTCGAGTGCACCGCTTCTTGTTCTTTAGGGATCATAAAAGCGCTTTCATTTTGTCGGCATTCAGAGAACTTGGAGGAGCATGTTTGAATCCCTGGCTTGAAGGTGCAACAGGAGTCGCCCGTTCACGCGTGCTTAAATTTTACAAAGAAATAGCGGATGCTATACAGTTTTTCGAAGCGAGGTTTTCAAGGGAGTATCTCGATAAGGTTAAAAGGAAAAGATTGTACTGGGATACGCTAGAATCAATGACGCCGCCTCCATTGTATCGCATTAGTGCAGAAGGTGTGTGCAAGTCTGATGTTTTCCAGCGTCTTCGACGCTATCCAGTTAAAATGGGGTCAAAGAATTTTTTCCTCCGCCTGCATTGGGAGGTACTCCCTGTGAAGACTTGGTTAGTAAAAAAAGGGTTTTTTGAACCTTGGTCTACAAATTGTGCACTTTGTCCGGTTCCAGAAACACTGGAGCACGTTTTTTTGTACTGTACGAATGCCGAGCTGTTTTGGGCCGAGCTTCGAGCGGTGTTGCGGACAGATCTCTACATGGACTGGAAAAAGGTCAAATACTTGGAGTTCGGCTCAGGTCTGAAAAGCAGAGCCTGGGAAGTTCTCGCTCTTCTTGGATTGCATGCCTTATGGAACTCGCGGAATAATCACTTGTTTGTAGTGGAAGGAGCAAAGCCAGCTTGGCGCCACTTTGTCGAGGGTTTTATGTATGTCGACTCGATTATAGAGGCAACGCAACAACCAGGCTTGGAATGCTGGACAGCGTGGAAAGCGCGTTTGCAAAGGCGCTAGAAGGTTGCCCCTTTATTGCGAGTACAGTAGAAAATGGCAGAGTGGCCTGTAAGGGTGCACTAATATTCGTAAGGAGCTGTACTGTGTGGGGTTGAATCCTGCGAAGTTCCTATGCTGCCCTTTAATGTGAGTCAAACGGTCAAACAAGCGGACAGTGCCGTGAGGCTTTTAACCCTGTAAATACTGCGTGTTTTAAATAAAATGTCAAAAAAAAAAAAAGAGGAAGTGGCCGAGTGGGCTAACGCGTCTCAGCTCGGAGCGTGGAGCGAAAGCTTGCGCTGGGAACCACCTGGGTTCGATCCCCGCCTCCCCCGCCCGTTTCGATATGGATGAGTTTCGTACCGCCACGCGTTCGTGTGATCACTACTGCGTGATGCACGTTAAAAATCCCAGGTTAGCGGTTGTACCGCTCTGGCCGAATTTCTCATCTACAGCTAAGAGACCGATTACCCGTTGAGGCGCATCTCCATCAAGGCTGTATAAACATAAAGAGCAAGCCAATTTTTTTTTTTTTTTAATAACTTGTCTTTAAGGGAGGAAGTGGCCGAGTGGGCTAACGCGTCTCAGCTCGGAGCGTGGAGCGAAAGCTTGCGCTGGTAACCACCTGGGTTCGATCCCCGCCTCCCCCGCCCGTTTCGATATGGATGAGTTTCGTACCGGCACGCGTTCGTGTGATCACTACTGCGTGATGCACGTTAAAAATCCCAGGTTAGCGGTTGTACCGCACTGGCTAAATTTCTCATCTACAGCTAAGAGACCGATTACCCGTTGAGGCGCATCTCCATCAAGGCTGTATAAACATAAAGAGCAAGCCAATTTTTTTTTTTTTTTTTAATAACTTGTTTTTAAGGGAGGAAGTGGCCGAGTGGGCTAACGCGTCTCAGCTCGGAGCGTGGAGCGAAAGCTTGCGCTGGGAACCTCCTGGGTTCGATCCCCGCCGCCCCCGCCCGTTTCGATCTGGATGAGTTTCGTACCGGCACGCGTTCGTGTGATCACTACTGCGTGATGCACGTTAAAAACCCCAGGTTAGCGGTTGTACCGCTCTGGCCGAATTTCTCATCTACAGCTAAGAGACCGATTACCCGTTGAGGCGCATCTCCATCAAGGCTGTATAAACATAAAGAGCAAGCCAATTTTTTTTTTTTAATAACTTGTCTTTAAGGGAGGAAGTGGCCGAGTGGGCTAACGCGTCTCAGCTCGGAGCGTGGAGCGAAAGCTTGCGCTGGGAACCACCTGGGTTCGATCCCCGCCTCCCCCGCCCGTTTCGATATGGATGAGTTTCGTACCGGCACGCGTTCGTGTGATCACTACTGCGTGATGCACGTTAAAAATCCCAGGTTAGCGGTTGTACCGCACTGGCTAAATTTCTCATCTACAGCTAAGAGACCGATTACCCGTTGAGGCGCATCTCCATCAAGGCTGTATAAACATAAGAGCAAGCCAATTTTTTTTTTTTTTTTTAATAACTTGTTTTTAAGGGAGGAAGTGGCCGAGTGGGCTAACGCGTCTCAGCTCGGAGCGTGGAGCGAAAGCTTGCGCTGGGAACCTCCTGGGTTCGATCCCCGCCGCCCCCGCCCGTTTCGATCTGGATGAGTTTCGTACCGGCACGCGTTCGTGTGATCACTACTGCGTGATGCACGTTAAAAATCCCAGGTTAGCGGTTGTACCGCACTGGCTAAATTTCTCATCTACAGCTAAGAGACCGATTACCCGTTGAGGCGCATCTCCATCAAGGCTGCATAAACATAAAGAGCAAGCCAATTTTTTTTTTTTAATAACTTGTCTTTAAGGGAGGAAGTGGCCGAGTGGGCTAACGCGTCTCAGCTCGGAGCGTGGAGCGAAAGCTTGCGCTGGGAACCACCTGGGTTCGATCCCCGCCTCCCCCGCCCGTTTCGATATGGATGAGTTTCGTACCGGCACGCGTTCGTGTGATCACTACTGCGTGATGCACGTTAAAAATCCCAGGTTAGCGGTTGTACCGCACTGGCTAAATTTCTCATCTACAGCTAAGAGACCGATTACCCGTTGAGGCGCATCTCCATCAAGGCTGTATAAACATAAAGAGCAAGCCAATTTTTTTTTTTTTTAATAACTTGTCTTTAAGGGAGGAAGTGGCCGAGTGGGCTAACGTGTCTCAGCTCGGAGCGTGGAGCGAAAGCTTGCGCTGGGAACCACCTGGGTTCGATCCCCGCCGCCCCCGCCCGTTTCGATATGGATGAGTTTCGTACCGGCACGCGTTCGTGTGATCACTACTGCGTGATGCACGTTAAAAATCCCAGGTTAGCGGTTGTACCGCACTGGCTAAATTTCTCATCTACAGCTAAGAGACCGATTACCCGTTGAGGCGCATCTCCATCAAGGCTGTATAAACATAAAGAGCAAGCCAATTTTTTTTTTTTAATAACTTGTCTTTAAGGGAGGAAGTGGCCGAGTGGGCTAACGCGTCTCAGCTCGGAGCGTGGAGCGAAAGCTTGCGCTGGGAACCTCCTGGGTTCGATCCCCGCCGCCCCCGCCCGTTTCGATCTGGATGAGTTTCGTACCGGCACGCGTTCGTGTGATCACTACTGCGTGATGCACGTTAAAAATCCCAGGTTAGCGGTTGTACCGCACTGGCTAAATTTCTCATTTACAGCTAAGAGACCGATTACCCGTTGAGGCGCATCTCCATCAAGGCTGTATAAACATAAAGAGCAAGCCAATTTTTTTTTTTTAATAACTTGTCTTTAAGGGAGGAAGTGGCCGAGTGGGCTAACGCGTCTCAGCTCGGAGCGTGGAGCGAAAGCTTGCGCTGGGAACCACCTGGGTTCGATCCGCGCCTCCCCCGCCCGTTTCGATATGGATGAGTTTCGTACCGGCACGCGTTCGTGTGATCACTACTGCGTGATGCACGTTAAAAATCCCAGGTTAGCGGTTGTACCGCACTGGCTAAATTTCTCATCTACAGCTAAGAGACCGATTACCCGTTGAGGCGCATCTCCATCAAGGCTGTATAAACATAAAGAGCAAGCCAATTTTTTTTTTTTTTAATAACTTGTCTTTAAGGGAGGAAGTGGCCGAGTGGGCTAACGCGTCTCAGCTCGGAGCGTGGAGCGAAAGCTTGCGCTGGGAACCTCCTGGGTTCGATCCCCGCCGCCCCCGCCCGTTTCGATCTGGATGAGTTTCGTACCGGCACGCGTTCGTGTGATCACTACTGCGTGATGCACGTTAAAAATCCCAGGTTAGCGGTTGTACCGCACTGGCTAAATTTCTCATCTACAGCTAAGAGACCGATTACCCGTTGAGGCGCATCTCCATCAAGGCTGTATAAACATAAAGAGCAAGCCAATTTTTTTTTTTTTTTAATAACTTGTCTTTAAGGGAGGAAGTGGCCGAGTGGGCTAACGCGTCTCAGCTCGGAGCGTGGAGCGAAAGCTTGCGCTGGGAACCTCCTGGGTTCGATCCCCGCCGCCCCCGCCCGTTTCGATCTGGATGAGTTTCGTACCGGCACGCGTTCGTGTGATCACTACTGCGTGATGCACGTTAAAAATCCCAGGTTAGCGGTTGTACCGCACTGGCTAAATTTCTCATCTACAGCTAAGAGACCGATTACCCGTTGAGGCGCATCTCCATCAAGGCTGTATAAACATAAAGAGCAAGCCAATTTTTTTTTTTTTTTAATAACTTGTCTTTAAGGGAGGAAGTGGCCGAGTGGGCTAACGCGTCTCAGCTCGGAGCGTGGAGCGAAAGCTTGCGCTGGGAACCTCCTGGGTTCGATCCCCGCCGCCCCCGCCCGTTTCGATCTGGATGAGTTTCGTACCGGCACGCGTTCGTGTGATCACTACTGCGTGATACACGTTAAAAATCAAAGGTTAGCGGTTGTACCGCACTGGCTAAATTTCTCATCTACAGCTAAGAGACCGATTACCCGTTGAGGCGCATCTCCATCAAGGCTGTATAAACATAAAGAGCAAGCCAATTTTTTTTTTTTTTAATAACTTGTCTTTAAGGGAGGAAGTGGCCGAGTGGGCTAACGCGTCTCAGCTCGGAGCGTGGAGCGAAAGCTTGCGCTGGGAACCTCCTGGGTTCGATCCCCGCCGCCCCCGCCCGTTTCGATCTGGATGAGTTTCGTACCGGCACGCGTTCGTGTGATCACTACTGCGTGATGCACGTTAAAAATCCCAGGTTAGCGGTTGTACCGCACTGGCTAAATTTCTCATCTACAGCTAAGAGACCGATTACCCGTTGAGGCGCATCTCCATCAAGGCTGTATAAACATAAAGAGCAAGCCAATTTTTTTTTTTTTTAATAACTTGTCTTTAAGGGAGGAAGTGGCCGAGTGGGTTAACGCGTCTCATCTCGGAGCGTGGAGCGAAAGCTTGCGCTGGGAACCTCCTGGGTTCGATCCCCGCCGCCCCCGCCCGTTTCGATCTGGATGAGTTTCGTACCGGCACGCGTTCGTGTGATCACTACTGCGTGATGCACGTTAAAAATCCCAGGTTAGCGGTTGTACCGCACTGGCTAAATTTCTCATCTACAGCTAAGAGACCGATTACCCGTTGAGGCGCATCTCCATCAAGGCTGTATAAACATAAAGAGCAAGCCAATTTTTTTTTTTTTTTAATAACTTGTCTTTAAGGGAGGAAGTGGCCGAGTGGGCTAACGCGTCTCAGCTCGGAGCGTGGAGCGAAAGCTTGCGCTGGGAACCTCCTGGGTTCGATCCCCGCCGCCCCCGCCCGTTTCGATCTGGATGAGTTTCGTACCGGCACGCGTTCGTGTGATCACTACTGCGTGATGCACGTTAAAAATCCCAGGTTAGCGGTTGTACCGCACTGGCTAAATTTCTCATCTACAGCTAAGAGACCGATTACCCGTTGAGGCGCATCTCCATCAAGGCTGTATAAACATAAAGAGCAAGCCAATTTTTTTTTTTTAATAACTTGTTTTTAAGGGAGGAAGTGGCCGAGTGGGCTAACGCGTCTCAGCTCGGAGCGTGGAGCGAAAGCTTGCGCTGGGAACCTCCTGGGTTCGATCCCCGCCGCCCCCGCCCGTTTCGATCTGGATGAGTTTCGTACCGGCACGCGTTCGTGTGATCACT